AAGTAGCTGTCTTAGTACCATTTTCTGAAACCTGAATGCACATTCATCTCTGGTTAAAAACCAACACCTCCAAAATTTCAGTGTTTTGACTGAAAAAGAATAGGGGAACATAAATAAATAAATAAATAAATAAATGAAGGCTAGATAATTATTTAAATATATTCATTTATTTCTCATTTTTCTACACCTTGCATGAGTTTCATTCACAACTTTTATTAGTGGGTCCTTAAATAATGCACCTAATGTTACATCTCCTTGTTTACTTTTGCAGACAAGGGCAATTTACATTAGTGGCTTGAAAAGATAGGGGCTTGATTATTGAGTTGAAAAGGGCTTTTGGTGAGGAATTGTGTGGATAAATTGTTTATTTTTTTTCTTCTTTTTTTATGTTGGGGTAATGAGTAGAGAGTTGAAGAAAGTGGAGAAGTGTTGTGATGTGGCTGAGAAGGTTGTGGTGGCTGTTAAGGCATCAAAGGATGTACCTAAGACAGCTTTGGTTTGGGCTTTAACTCATGTTGTTCAGCCAGGGGACTGTATCACACTTCTTGTGGTGTTCTCTTCTCATGCCTCTGGTAAATAATTTCCACTATTCTTTATTTTTCTTGCCATTTCTCCGTTGTCTTTCTTAAATCGTTAAAACAGGTCGAAAGTTATGGAGCTTCCCGAGGTTTGCGGGTGACTGTGCTAGCGGCCACAAAGGGCGGGCACACTCAACTGGTTCGAGTGCAGAGCAGAAATCGGACATCACGGATTCTTGCTCGCAAATGATCCTTCAGCTTCACGATGTTTATGATCCTAACAAGGTAAGAATAGATCATATGTTTTCTGCTAGGGAGAATTTATAGTTGGGCTTGTTCAACAGAAGTTCAACCCATGAATTTTGGTTAATTGTTAATTTTTCAGATCAATGTGAAGATAAAAGTCGTGTCGGGTACACCGTGCGGTGCAGTTGCTGCTGAGGCCAAGAAAATACAAGCGAATTGGGTTGTCTTAGACAAGTAAGGCCTACATTATCATCCTCTTCAACTTTTATCTGAAAAACCACTTGGCTATTTATTTATTTTAATTTATTTTATTTTATTATTTATTTTAGAGATTGCTATTTGGTTCATCTTAATTGCAAAATGTCCAAATCATCTTCAGAATTGTAACTATCATCTTAAGTCACGAGTCGCTCGCGAGCGCTCAAGTCAATGCTCGACTCGAGCTCGAGCAGTTCAATCGAGCAAACTAGTCGAGTCTCGAGCATCATTTCAAGAGGCTTGTAAGCTCGACGAGCCGCTCGACTTTTTATTTACATAAATAAATACCCCATATAGTTTAATTATCAATGTTAGAACACTAAGGCCAAAAATTGTCTATTTAGATTTAAAAATAGTACCTTTTATATTTAAAATTTAGTTGTTAAAATTTTTAGCCGAACTGGAGCCATGTCAAGCATAGAGTCCATCTCGAGCATGTTTAATTTCTTCACGAGTCGAGTTGAGCAGCATTTTACAAGCATTTTACATGGGCTTGTCGAGCTCAAGCAGTGAAGAAAAAAGTTTCGATCTGCACTCGACAAGATCCACGATTGACTCGACTCGACTCGTTTGCAATCCTAATGAGACGATATTTGTGATGTTAATTACAAGGCGACTTTTTTTTTTTAAAAAAAGAAAGATCTATGATTAAATTGAACCTTGAGAGCATTTCTATAAAACTCCACAGACACCTCAAACACGAGGAGAAACGCTGCTTGGAGGAGCTCCAATGCAACATTGTTGTCATGAAACGAACCCAACCGAAGGTCCTCCGCCTGAACTTAGTCAGCTCATCCCGTAACGAGCCCGAACCTACAACTTCACTCCAGACGAACCCATCCTCCGAAAAACGAGGAACCCCCAAAGGCTCCCCAAATCCGGCCCGTGGGCCCCTCGTCACCCCTTCCAGCAGCCCCGAGACCTTCACGGCCACCGATGTCGGAACCTCATCAGTCTCGAGCTCTGATCCCGGCACATCGCCCTTCGTCATAACCACCGGCCCAAAAGACGACTTAATAACCAAGAAAGAGAAATTAATATCCATAAAACAAGAACATGATCACGACTCGTCTGATTCGGACACAGACATTGAAAGCCTGTCTTCATCGTCGAGTCTTAGGTTCCCGGAAAAAATACTCGTCAAACAGAAAAATTCCATTATTTCCACAAATGCCCTCTTCGAGAAAAACGCAAAATTCGACGATGACCTCCTCGGTTTTCGTTCCCCGAGCTACCGGTTGAACTCCAATTTCAGCGGGAGCCTGAGGGAGGCTATTTCATTGTCTAAAGCAGGCCCGTGCGGGCCCCCGCCTTTGTGTTCTATTTGCCAGCATAAGACTCCCATGTTCGGAAAACCTCCGAGATGGTTTGCTTACGCTGAGCTGGAGCTGGCGACTGGCGGGTTTTCACGGGCGAATTTTTTGGCTGAAGGCGGGTACGGGTCGGTTCACAGAGGGGTTCTGCCCGATGGGCAGGCCATTGCAGTTAAGCAGCACAAGCTGGCGAGTTCGCAAGGGGATCAGGAGTTTTGCTCGGAGGTTGAAGTGCTGAGCTGTGCCCAGCACCGTAATGTGGTGATGCTGATAGGGTTCTGTATCGAGGATGGAAGGAGGTTGCTGGTGTACGAGTATATATGCAACGGGTCTCTTGATTCTCATCTTTATGGTATGCTTTTTTT